CTAAAACCCTAAACCCTAAATAAAACTAAACCACTAAACCCTAAACCCCAAACCCCTAAACCCTAAATAACACTAAACCCCTAAACCCCTAAACCCTAGACCCTAAACCCCTAAACCCCAAAACCCTAAACCCAAAACCCCTAAACCTTCAACCCCTAAAGCCCTAAACCCTAATCATGGTCGGGAGCTGCGGGCCTCTCAAGCCTTCGTTTTCCGGTCTGCTTTGGACTTGGAGGTTTGGTTTGGACTTCGAGCTTTGGAGCTTTCCTAAACCCTAAACCCTAAATCCTAAACCCTAAATCCTAGACCCTAGATCCTAAACCCTAAATCCTAAATCCTAGACCCTAGATCCTAAACCCTAAATCCCCAAACCCTAAACCCTAAACCCTAAATCGCCAAACCCTAAACCCTAAGCCGGAACCTAAGCCTAAAGTGTGTGCTGCCGCTTCGACTCACATGTTGGTACCCGCAAATTGTCCGCGCGAAGCGATGAAAACAGGAACCGCTCTCGCTGCAAATTGTATCTACTTATACATTTCATGCGCATATAAACATTTGTACACGTGTACAGGCATGCATGCGTGCATGCGTGCATATGTACATACAGCTACATACATACAGTTAGATACGCACAGTTACATACAGACATGCACATCTCATTGACGGCTAACTCAGATGGATTTAGGTCATAACCAGAATCCAAGGCCTTGGGGTCTTCGCGAAATTGCCTGGCAGGCGTTTTCTATTCATTCGACGGCCTCTGAGCTTCAACCAACCCTCCCACAAAGCCAAACGCAGGGTTTAGGGTTTAGGGTTTAGGGTTTAGAGTTTAGAGTTTAGTGCACCTAAACCCGAAAACCCAAAAACCCTTTCAAACCCCGAAACCCAAAACCCTAAACCCCCTACCCACCACACCCAAAGCCCCAAAACCCTAAACATCAAGGCTCAAGCGTCTGTTGCTCTTTGGCCTGGCAACCGGTGTGGAAGAAGGTGGGCTTTCCGATTTCGGGTTTAAGGGTCTAGGGCCTAAGGGAATGGGGAGTTTAGGGTCTAGGGTCTCGGGTTTAGGGCATTTTGGGGAGTCTTTTATAGTTTAATTATACTGAGGGAACCACCAAAACAAGGGAATGGGGAGTCTTGGGTTCAGGGTTCAGGGTTTAGGGTTTAGGGCTCGGGAGATTCACGGGTTTCAGGCTTTAGGGCTTGGGATTATTCGGGGGTTTGGGGTGAAGGGTTGTTGGGTTTGGGGATTTAGACTTTAAGCTCCTTGGGGTTTGGGGCTTAGGATTTAGGGCTTTAGGGTTTAGATAGTCTTGCGACTTGTCAGACTTACGATCTTGGCTGCCCTCATGCCAGAACTGAGCCCGAAACCTTCATGTACAGGCTTTTCGCGTTTGGGGTTTGGGGTTTAGGGCTTCGGGTTACGGGGTCACCACCCCAAACCCCAAACCCCCTGCACTATCCTGAACCCTGAATCCTACGCACTAGACCCTAAGCCCTAAGCCTCAGTGCTAAACCCAACGCCCTAAACCCCAAGCCCTAAACCCGAAACCCAAAGCCTTAAACCCCAAGCCCTAAAACCTAAACCCACAGCCCTAAACCCTAAAAGCCCAATGCCCTAAACCCAAAGCCCTAAACCCTAAACCTTAAAATCAAAACCGCGGAGCTTTTTTGAGATCCGTGCCCTGCCTCTGTTGCTGCATAGCGGAGAAGACGCGGCCTCTGCCATGCAGCCGTTTTAAGGCTACCTTTACGGGATCTACAGGGTTCCTTAAAGGGATCTCTACAATCTATAGGGTTCCTTAAATGCATCTAGGGTTCTTTAGGGGTTTGGGGTTTAGGGTTTGGGGTTCAGGGCTTCGGGCATTGGCTTTAGGATTTAGGGTTCATGGCTTAGGGGCCTTGGGCTTAGGGTTTAGGGTTTAGGGTTTAGGGTTTAGGGTTTAGGGTTTAGGGTTTAGGGTTTAGGGTTTAGGGTTCCGTGTTTTGGTGCAAGGACTTGCTTCGGGGTTGACGCGTGTTCAGGGCCTTGGTCAGAGGCTAGGGGGTTTAAGGATTTAGGATCCTTGTCACACTAAACCCTAAACCTGCAATTATGGTTACTGCAAGGGTTCTACAACCACGGTTTTGGGATTCGGGTTTATGGCATAGGGTTTCGGGATTAGGGGGTCAAGTCAAATCTTATGGGTTTTTATTGACACCTCTTTTCCTTCCGCCTGGTTAAGGGGTCAGAACGCCATGACTGGATTTAGGGTTTTGGGTTTCGGATTTAAGATTACGTTTAGGGTTTAACGTTTTTAAGGGTCTTTACGACATGAAATCGTGAGAAAAAACTGAATGCCAACGTTTAGCCCGGAGTTATTGAGTGTCCTGAGTAATTAAGCAGAGTCAACAGTGCTTTAGTATCGGTGACAAAATCATATCGGGACAGTGATGGAAGGTAGAAGTTAGTATTATACTTCTTCAGGCATCCAGATTACGGTGCACATACTTGTTGTAAGCAGATCCGAGCTTCAGAACGTAGGGTGGTTGCCATCAGCGAACATGGTCACGTCCAAGACTGCAAACACAAGCAAGGAAGATACAGCAGCAACGACAGATACATCGCCATGACAGAAGCAGCAGCAGCGGAAAGTCTAAGACAGAGATGAACCAGGCCGGACATGCAAGAATACTGATACACCCATCGGAAGATCGACCCACGGCATTGTCGCTCGAGCATCGAGATTCCGCCTGCATTTACAGCAGCAGAGCAGAACCTTTCAAGACTTAGCCGATGTGGATCCAAGATGAACAAGCATTCACCGATTGAAGCTGCATCCAGGGTTTAGGGTTTAGGGTTCCAGAGTGTGGCGTATGCTTGCTTTTTTGGTGCAGACTTTGCTGGGGTTGATGGGGCTGTATGTACAGAAGTGTTCGAGGGTCTTCACGGGTTCCGAAGTTTGCATGATGAAAGGACTTGGGCACCTAACGAGAAACCATAAGGCTTATCGGGGCCTTAACAATTAGAACAGGGTTTGGGGGTATTTCAAGAACAATTATAATAAGGAACCCCCCCCAAAATAGTAATTATTGTCAATGTTTAGGCCCCTATATTAGATGCTGGGTGGGAAGTCTAAATATCCGAAAAGAGCTGAGATGCAGCCCTTGCGCATGACAGAAGGAGAGGACATGGTGGCTGGCCTTTTTTGTCAAGCCCCTCGACGTTCCTTAAGGGTGCGTTGTCCACAGCCTGAACCCTAAAAGGAGATGTTGGGTGGTAAGCCGTCCGAAATCGCTGTAAAGATGTCCAGCCAGGAGACGTCATAAGAAACCCACACAGGCTCCCAAGTAAACCCTAAACGGAAAAGCCCTAAATTGGGTTTAGGGTTTAGGGTTTACAGTTTAGGGCTTAGGGAACCAAACACCCGGAGAATATCAAACCCCCACAGGCCTCTTGCAAGGATGCAATCATGCATCCGCACATCGCTGCAGGCCTAACAGGGCAATGGAGCAGTTCAGGGCTTCGCAGCGGTCTCAGTAGGCTTAGGGTTTCAAGTGAGCTGCAGGTTGTAGAAAGCGTTACCGGCCCCATGCCTTGTGGGAGTTTTTGGGCAAAACCAACCTGAACCCTAAACCCTATAACCCAAAACCCTCAACCCTCATACCTATAACCCTATAACCCTATGTAACGCTAAACCCTAAACCGTGAGGGGAGCCAGGGGCCCAGAAGTGGCTTTGGGATCTCTGACAGCGATGGTTCCTTGCAGAGCACACCTTCCTAGCCGCCACCCGAAGAAGAGATGGTGTGCTTAGGGTTTAGGGTTTAGGATTTCGAGGCGACAGCCGACAGCAACCCAAATCCTTGACAAGACAAAATACTCGGGCACTCGTCGGTTAAATTCCTCATTATCATCATCATTATCATCATCATCATCAGAAGCAGATGCTGCTGCAGTGGCAGCACGACTACCGCCACGTCCGTTACTTTGTTCCTGGTTGCAAGACTATCGGGATAACAGGTAACAGGAGCATCAATTCTCCCTCCGTGCTACCATGACGGGGACGAGGATGGCTACGGCTACCGCTGCTACTGGTACTTCTGATGCTGGTCCAGCTGCAGCCGCTGCTGCCGCGGCGGCACTGTCGCGGCTGTTGCCTACTTCTACTCGTACTGGTCCCCGTACAACAGTACATCTGACGACGTCGATGACGAGATGCGGACGAGGACGAGGATGACGAGAACGAACTCGATTTCGAATACTTACGAAGACCACCACTATGACGACGACGACGACCACGGCAACCACCACCACTACGACGAAATGCGCAAACACTGGATGCCATGATGCGCTCCCTTCTTTCTGAGGCCCATACGCTGTGTTCAGCCCTGCAGGCACAGGTCTAGCAGTATGTCGGGTTCAGCACACACAGGACCCCTGAGAAATCAACTTAACATGTTCAAGATCAATTGCTCTTTGCTAGTGAGGGGTCCACAACTATGAAATGCCATCGGTTCGAATGGGCTCAGTGTGTCGGGATTGTTATGCAGCTTTTGGACCCCCCCCCCCTCTATAAAGCCCGCATAGAACCCTTTTGTGGAACCCTTTAACAAAAACTGTTAGAAAACCCTAAATGCCCTAAACCCTAAACCCTTAACCCTAAACCCTAAACCCTAAACCCTAAAACCCTAAACCCTAAAACCCTAAACCCTAAAACCCTAAACCCTAAAACCAATAGTTAGAGTTAGAGAAAACTTAAGGAGCCCCTGACTTAGCGCTTCCTCGTTGCGCACTTTCTCTAAGCGCTTAGACGGTTTAGGGTTTAGGGTTTAGGGTTTAGGGTTTAGGGTTTAGGGTTTAGGGTTTAGGGTTAGGGTCCCCCAATGTCGTCTCTGAACGATCTTGACGAGTCTAGGGTTCAGAAGGGCGTATAGGGGTTTGTAGGTTTATAATTTATAATAGTCGGTTTACAGGCCCTACACCCTAAAACGTATAGGGGCAGTAAGGGTTTACATGGGGATTATAGGAGTTTAGAAATCCCCTAGGGGTTTGGAGGAGTTTAGGGTTTAGGGTTTAGGTTGAGGGTTTAGGGCTTGGAGGAATTCGCGTTTAGGGAAAGGGGGGCCTCATTCTCGCCATCCCAAGCACATGAAAAAGGATGATCGGTCCTACCTCTAGTCTGCATGGTAATTCTTCGTTTTTGGGGTACCTTGTCCGATCCTTAGTGTAAAGTAAGCCAAGAAAACGGAGCTACAACGCAGACTAAAGGCATAGGACAACTCTCAATCCCAAGTATTAAGTATTGCCTCAATCCGCGCCTGGAAAGACCCAGACATTCCAGTATCCCTCAATTAAGGAAATTATCAATGCCTTAAGTTATATTGAATTAATTAGGGGTCTTACTATCACTTAAGGTATATTCCTTCATAAAATCAATGGATACTGGAAGGTCTGGAAAGAGCCGGGCTTTCTGTCCAAAACCCGACACCCCCAAACCCTAAACCCTAAACCCCTAAACCCCGAAACCCTAAACCCTGCCTAAACCCTAAACCCCTAAACCCTTAACCCAAAACACTCCCCGAAGCCGGAAGTCCCAGCAACGCCCCGGTCTGTCCTGCCCTTGGCGACTCTTCTGTGCACCTCGGGCACAACACAGTATCCGGTTTAGGGCTGAGGGCCTGAACCCTCCAAGTAGAGGGTCGGGAGACTTAGTAAGTAGGTAATAAGTAATAAGTAGACGTATAAGTACCCTAAAAGGGACCCTATGTGGGGTTATAGTACTTATAAGTCTATAAAATAACCATTTCCTCAGTCCCCAGACCCTCCAAGTAGATGCGACGCCAGGCTCAAGCCCTGAACCTTAAAAGGCCTAGTATCGTGGCCTGAATAATTATTTATCTTAACCCACCAGAACCTACTTTTTGTAGGGTCCCCTATAAATCCCATATTAGGGTCTACAATAAGAACCTACAAAAAAGTGGGTTTTGGTAGGTTAAGGTATGCTATTTTGGGGATGCCTTCTTATACTTATACTATACAGGATCCCAAAACCCTATTCTAATGATTAAGGCCCCTGTACTAGTTAGACCTTTCTCAGCTTCTCAGCTGCCTCTTATAAGCTTGTAAGGGTTCTGCAGGGTTCTGTAGGTTGTAGTATGCTTTCTCTGCGACTACACGTCATGGCATGAGGTTTGGGTTTGGGGTTTAGGGTTGAGGGTTTTAGGGTTTGGGGTATTCGACATCAGTTACTGCGACACATGCTGTGTCTACTTGGGGTTTCTTTGGAGACCCCTAAACTCCAAAGCCTAGACAAAACCCCTAAACCCAAACCCCTAAACCCTAAATCCTATGAGAGTTTAGGGTTTGGCGTTCAGGGTTTAAGGCCTATAGGGTCTATGGAAAAATCCTGTGCCCCGAGCCGAAGGCCTTGGCTTAAGGAGAAAAAGATCTAATGTAGGGGCCTTAATAACTGGAATAGGGGTTTTGGGCGGTATTGGTGTTCCCTTAAATGGTTCCTTAAAGGGCTACTATACGGGTTTAGGGTTTAGGGGCCGCCGTAATAATTAAAACAGGGTTTTGGGGTCCATTCTACTATAGATTATATGCTAGGAACCCCCAAAATAGTATTGGTAACCATTTAGGCCCCTATAATAAACTCGAAGTCACCACAACTTCGTTTAACGACAGCGAACCCTAAGCCCCAATATAGAAGCCAGGCTAGTCAGTAATACTGCTCCTGGGGCTGCCTTAAGCTGCTTCTTGTGTAGGGTTTAGGGTTTAGGGTTTAGGGTTTAGGGTTTAGGCCCCAAAAACAAACGGTTACGGTTCAGGGTTTAGGATTTAGGGTCTCGGGTTCTGATAACTATGTCAATCGGTATGCTGTGCAACCCATCGGACACCATAAGGTAGTAATCAGAATGAGGTTTGGGGTATGTTAGCATATATTCTTGATAAGCATAAGAAAGATCCCAGCAACTATGCAGGCGCGCATACTAGGCACAACATGAGAACCCTGAAAAAGCCCCATGATACATCAGCAAGACAAGGTAGCGAACCCTAAACCCTAAACCCTAAACCCCAAACCTTCGAACCCTAGACCCTAAGCCCCTGAATCACTGAACCCTAACCCTAAGGCCCCTGAACCCCTGAACCCCTGAACCCCTGAACCCCTGAACCCTAAACACTAAACCCAACCGCTAGTGCAAGTGAGGTACTTGTCGGACCTCCTACTGAGGGTCAGAGGCCCCCCGAAATCTTCGACCCAACGGCTCCGATGCTAACGGAATAGGGAACCCTGAACCCGAAGCCCTGAACCCTTAAAGGAGACGTTGCAGCAGCCCTCAAGGAACCCTCAAAGGAAGCCCCGAAAGGAAACTAGACCCTAAACCCTAAAAGCCCGAAAGGAAACTAAACCCTAAACCCTAAACCGAGGAAGCCTCAAAAGAAACCAAACCCTAAACCGCTAACCAAAAGGTAAGAAAAGGGCCTGTAGTCGATGAAGGTCTTTCGGACCGGCATCTGGCCAGGGTTGAGGGCTTAGGGTGGAGGGTTTAGGGTTGAGGGTTTAGGCCTTGAGGGCTGTTGAAGGCTTTTGAGGGCTTTCAGGGCTTTGGGGTTGGGGGCTCTAGAAGGCTTTGGAAGGCTTTCAGGGTTTAGGGTTTAGGGTTTAGGGTTTAGGGTTTAGGGTTGGGTTTAGCTTGGAGGGCTCTTCAGGCTTCCTTCGGCTGATGATATAGATCCTGCATTACCCATGAAAAGAAATATACCATAGTTCCCATAGCTTAGGGCACCTAAGGCAATGCAGGGTTTCTATCATCAACCCTAAAACCCTAAACCCTAATCCCCTAAACCGTAAAACCCTATACTTATATCATCCGCAGTTTCAGTGGGTTCTTTTCGTGCTTCTACAGCTTTCCGGGCTTCTCGGGGCCTTAGATTTCGGGGTTCAGGGTTTTAGACGTTGAACGCGCCTTGTAAAGTTGTACAGAATTCGTCTGAAGGTTGCTCTCAATGGTTCTATAAGGGTTCTATAACAACTTTATGATGCCGGGGCCTTTATGATGACAATAGGGTTTCGGGGTTCAATATATGTAGTGTTTAACTATACTATGCAGTGGATATACAACTACTACTTATTGAGGCCGGTATACTAGGGCTTTTGAGTGCAGGGTTGCAGGCACTTGTCATGTCAGGCAAGTAGGGTTGCGTGCATGTAATGATTTCTTTGGTGGCCGGGATTTTCGTTGCTGCGCTGGCCTCTAGGCCAACACGGCTTTTCGAAGCATCTTGCGTCAGATGACCTGTGATTCATCCGAACATTTCTACCTCCACGGCTTCTCCAAAGAATCAAAACTAAGCTTCAAGCGCTCAACTCCATGCACAAGCCAGCACCCCTGCACCTCGTCATGGCACCACTCTGGTAGTGGTAGTTGCAGAGCCTCCGTGGAAATCGAGAGATCTAGAGGCCTAAACTCTAAGCCCTAAAACCCTAAAACCCTAGAAACCCTAGAAACCCT